GATCTAGGACTCCGGGGTTCTATCCCCGGCTCTGGGAAGGGAGTGGGCTCGGGTGGCTAGAGCGGGGAGTGGGGCTGGAAAGCTCTCAGGCTCCCGAGTTGGGGGCTGGGCCCCACTGTTGAGCGCTGCTGGGGATCTGCATTCTCTGGGGCTCAGGGATCCCCGTCGGGGGGGCCGTGGTGCGTGGGGGGGGGGCTGGCCAGCGTGCCCCTGTCCTGACGCTCCCCCTCTGCCCCAGGCCTGCTCCGGGAAGTTCATGCCCATCACACAATGGCTTTACTTCGACGCACTGGAGTGTCTGCCCGAGGACAGCAAGGAGGCGCTGACGGAGGAGCAGTGCCGCCCGGTGAGTGACCGCGGGAGGCGGGGCTGGGATAGTGGGGGGGCTGTGGGTCGGAATTGGGGGGCACCGGCGGAGCTGTGGGGAGCCCGGCACTGGGGTAGCAGCGGGTCGCGATTGGGGGGCACCGGCGGAGCTGTGGGGAGCCCGGCACTGGGGAAGCAGTGGGTCGGGATTGGGGGGCACCGGCGGAGCTGGGGTGACTTTCTCTCCCCTCTCCCCAGAGGAACAGCCGTTACGACGGGCAGATCGCCGTGTTCGGGGCCGACCTGCAGGCCAAGCTGGGGCAGCAGAAGTATTTCCTGGTGAGCGCAGTCGGGTTCCCCCTGGACCCTGAGGGGTCCCCCCATTACTGCGGGGTCCGGAGCGCCCAGACCACGGCCCCACAGCAAAGCCCCTTGGTTCAAAAGGGTGAACGCTGCCCCCGGGGGGGTGAGCCTGGGCGGCTGGAGTCTGACCGCAGCTCCTTGGAGGCAAACACCCGGGGGGAGAAACCCAGCTGCTGTCTCTGGGGCCGATGCTCCGTGCTGGGGGGCCCCGGCCCTCGGCGTGTGCCGCCGGGCGCTGAGTTTGGACCCCGGTGCGGCCAGCCTGGGCGCCTGGAACCTTCCCCCAGCGCTGCCCCCTCACCCCCGTCTCGCCCCCTCCCCAGGTGGGCGCCGGCGCCATCGGCTGCGAGCTGCTGAAGAACTTCGCCCTGCTGGGGCTGGCGTGCGGGGACGGCGGGGAGGTGACCGTGACCGACATGGACACCATCGAGAAATCCAACCTCAACCGCCAGTTCCTCTTCCGGCCCTGGGACGTCACGGTGCGCTGGGGGGGCTGGCGAGCGGGATCTGCGAGTGGGGGGGGGCTGGGAGCCAGGACGCCTGGTTTCTCTCCCTGGCTCTGGGAGGGGACGCTGGGAGGCAGGACGCCTGGGTTCCATTCGTATCTCAGGCTACTAACTCTGGGTCCCGCCCCCCTCCCCCCAGAAAATGAAGTCTGACACAGCAGCGGCCGCGGTGCGGCAGATGAACCCCAACATCCACATCACGAGCCACCAGGACCGCGTGGGGCCCGACACGGAGCGCGTCTACGACGACGACTTCTTCGAGGGCCTGGACGGCGTGGCCAACGCGCTGGACAACGTGGACGCCAGTGAGTGACGCGTGGGTGGGGCCGTCCCCCAGCCGCATCTCAGCACCATGCCAGCCATCCTTGTGTGCTGTTATATGTGGCTGTTCCCCAGCTGCCCCGCCCCAGAGGTGGCTGCATCTCAGCGCCGGGCGAGCCGTCCTGGCCCCCCATCGCTGTGGTCCTAGGGCCCCCTGCCCCGTCATGGTGGTGCTAACCCTGTGCGCCTGCCCCCCAGGGATGTACATGGACCGCCGGTGCGTCTATTACCGAAAGCCCCTGCTGGAGTCCGGCACGCTGGGCACCAAGGGCAACGTCCAGGTGGTGATCCCCTTCCTGACGGAGTCGTACAGCTCCAGCCAGGACCCGCCCGAGAAATCCATCCCCATCTGCACCCTCAAGAACTTCCCCAACGCCATTGAGCACACACTGCAGGTGAGCACCCGGATGCTGGGGTTCCCTCCCCGCGGGACCGGGAGCTAGGACGCCTGGGTTCTGCCTCACTGCTTGGGCGGGGAGTGGGGTCTGATGGGTCAGAGCCTGGGGGCTCGGAGCCAGAACGCCTGGGTTCTTTCCCCGGCTCTGGGAGGGGAGTGGGGGCTAGTGGTTAGAGCAGGGGAGCTGGGAGCCAGGACTCCTGGGTTCTCTCCCCTGGGTCTGGGAGGTGAGTGGGAGCTAGTGGTTAGAGCGGGGCGGGGGCCGGGAGCCAGGACTCCTGGGTTCTCTCCCCTGGCTCTGGGAGGGGAGTGGGGGCTAGTGGTTAGAGCAGGGGGGGCTGGGAGCCAGGACTCCTGGGTTCTTTCCTCGACTCGGGGGCTGGTGTCTAATTCATCTGACTTCCCTGGGTGCTGCCCTATGGCCTGGGGGGGTGCCCCCACCCCGGTGACTCTGCTCTGTCCTGCAGTGGGCCCGGGACGAGTTCGAAGGCCTCTTCAAGCAGCCGGCGGAGAGCGTCAACCAGTACATCTCGTGAGTGGCGGGGGGGAGGGGGGCGCGGCCCACTCTGCTGCGGCTCTGCCCTGGGGGCGGGAGGGTCTGGGGGGCTGCCCCCTCTGAGCCGTGTGTGTTTTTCCCCCCCCCCCCAGAGACCCCAAGTTCATGGAGCGCACGCTCAAGCTGCCGGGCACGCAGCCCCTGGAGGTGCTGGAGGCTGTCAACAAGAGCCTGGTGAGCGAACGGCCCCGGAGCTGGGCCGACTGCGTGGGCTGGGCCTGCCGCCACTGGCACTGCCAGTATAGCAACAACATCCGCCAGCTGCTGCACAACTTCCCGCCCCACCAGGTGAGCCCCCCGCCCGCCCCTCTGGGCCCCACCAGGTGAGCCCCCCTGCAGAGCCAGCAGCCCCTCCGGGCCCCGGCTCTCACCCCGCCCCCTCTGGTGTCTTGCAGAAGACCAACTCCGGCACCCTGTTCTGGTCAGGTCCCAAGAGATGTCCCCACCCCCTCACCTTCGACGACAGCAACGTGAGTATGGGGGGTGTCATTAGGGGTCAGGGTTAACGCCCATCCTCCCTCCCTCCCTCTGCCCCCAGCACATGGATTACCAGGTTAGGAGTCAGGGTTAAAACCCATCTGTCCCCCCACAGCCCCGCACATGGATTACAGGGTGGGGGTGTGATCATTAGGGGTCAGGGTTAATGCCCATCTGTCCCCCACACTTCTGTGCATGGATTACAGGGAGGTGTTGTCGATAGGGCTCAGGGTAAACGCCTCCCTGCACACGGATTACAGGGAGTGGGTCGTCATTAGGGCTCAGGGTTAATACCCGTCTTTCTCCCCCCCAGCCCCTGCACATGGATTACATCGTGGCGGCGGCGAATCTCTTTGCCCAGACCTACGGCATCACGGGCACGCGGGACGTGGGCGCCGTGGCCGAGCTCTTGCACCAGGTGCAGGTGCCCGAGTTCACGCCCAAGTCCGGCGTGCGGATCCACATCTCGGACCAGGAGCTGCAGAACGCTAACGCCTCCGTCGGTACGGCGTGGGGGGCCGTCCCGGTGCGCCCTTGGGCACCGCGACTCGGGGGTGGGGGGTCTGCTGCCATTAGGGCTGGCCCCTGGCATGGAGCCCGGGGCCCCTTGTGGTCGCGGGTGTCCTTGCCAGGCGCTCACGGGCTCTGCTCTGCCCCCCAGATGACAGCCGGCTGGAGGAGCTGAAATCCAGCCTGCCCAACCCGGAGGACCTGCAGAGCTTCCGCATGTACCCAATCGACTTCGAGAAGGTGAGCCGGGCGGGGCCGGGATTGGAGGGGGGTGCAGGCCGGGCCCTGGGAGCGAGCGCTGGCCATGTGTGGTGTTATCTGCATCTGTTCCCTGGCTGCCACCCAGAGGTGGCTGCATCCCACCACTGGGCGAGCCATCCCTGTGCGGCAGTTCCCCGGCTGCCCCACCCCAGAGGTGGCTGCTTTTCCCTCTGACCCTCTCTCTGGTTCAGGACGACGACACTAATTTCCACATGGATTTCATCGTGGCGGCGTCAAACCTGCGGGCTGAGAACTACGACATCCCACCCGCCGACCGGCACAAGGTGGGCAGCGGCCTCGGCTGGTTCGGGGGAGGCAGGGGGCTCGCTGCGGCGCTCTGCCTCCCCTCCCGCCCAACGCTGACGTCTCTGCCCCTCCCCAGAGCAAGCTGATCGCTGGGAAGATCATCCCAGCCATTGCCACGACGACGGCAGCGGTGGTGGGGCTGGTGTGTCTGGAGCTGTACAAAGTGGTGCAGGGCCACAAGCGGCTGGAGTCCTACAAGAACGGCTTCCTTAACCTGGCCCTGCCTTTCTTTGGCTTCTCCGAACCCATCGCCTGCCCCCGCAATAAGGTGGGTCCGCAGTGTGCCCCCCCCCCGGGGGCCCCGGCTCCTACCCCCCAGGCCCCAGCCCGTATCCTCTGCCCCCTCGCAACAAGGTGGGGGCTGTGGTGTGCACCGCAGGGACCCCGGCCCCTCCACCCTGCCCCCCGAAGTGCTGCCCCCCAGGCCCCAGCCTGTATCCTCTGCCCCCTCAGAACAAGGTGGGTCCCCCCCAACCTGTGCCCTGCCCTGTGCTCTCCCCCCTCCCCCCCGACATATGACAAGCGGATACGGAAGGGTCTGGTTTGGGCTGGTCTGGGGGTCCCCCCCCCGGTATCTCTGACCCGTTCTCCCCCCTGCCCCCAGTACTACGACATTGAGTGGACGCTGTGGGACCGGTTCGAGGTGCAGGGGGTGCAGCCCAGCGGGGAGGAGATGACGCTGCGCCAGTTCCTGGCCTATTTCAAGGTGAAACCTGGATGGTGGTGTCAGAGCGCGTGGGGCGGGGGGGAAAAAAATCAGACAATGCCCAGACACTCCCCCCCGCCCCGCAGAGCGAGCTCCGGCTGGAGATCATCATGCTAGGGGGGCGAAATCAGGGTGTCTGACCCCCTCATGCTGGGGGAGGCAGGGGGCTGGTTGGGGGGATGGGGAGCTGATGGGGGGGGGAGCTTGGGGGATCTGGGCGCTGTCTGACCCCGCGTCCCATCTCCATGCTGATCCCCCCCCCCCCCCCCCCCGCCCGGCCGCGCCGGGCAAGCCCCGGCGGGGGCCCGCCGTGCGGGGGGGCAGGGGGGGGGCAGGGGGCTGATGGAGGGGGTTTGGGGGGGATCGGGGGATCTGGGCGCTGTCTGATGACCTCCCCCCCGCAGAGCGAGCACCGGCTGGAGATCACCATGCTGTCGCAGGGCGTCTCCATGCTCTACTCCTTCTTCATGCCGCCCACCAAGCTGCGTGAGCGCCACGACCAGCCGTACGTACCCGGGGTGCCCCGGGGGGGGCGGTGCCCGCTCCCTGGGCGCTCGGGCCCATTGTCAGCCACCCAGGGGGAGTGGGGCAGGGTCCCCCTCCCTCTGGGCAATTGGGGGCCGGGTTTACCTGGTTTGGGGGCTCTCCCCAGTGTCTGGGGGGATCGGGGTGGGGGAGTCCCCGCTCCAGGGGCTATCCTGGTCCCGGGGGTCTGCCCATTGGCTGCAGGTCGGGAGGGTCCCCACTCTCGGGGGGGGGGGTCCCCACCGGCTTCGCCCTGACTATGCCCCACCCCCAGGATGACGGAGATCGTGACCAAGGTGTCGAAGAAGAAGATCGGGCGGCACGTCAAGGCCCTGGTCTTCGAGCTCTGCTGCAATGACGACAGCGAGTGCGACATCGAGGTGCCCTACGTCCGCTACACCATCCGCTAGGGGCGGGGCCTCCCCACGCCCCGCCCCCTGGGCTCACGGGGCAGGGCCTCCCCACACCCGCCCCCCACGGTTAAAGTGATGCAAAACATGGACTAAAGGGTCTCCCCCCAGGAATTGGTCTGAGGTTTGGGGCTGGGGAGGGGGGGTCCTGCCCCCCTTCCCTGCTGGGAACCCCCCCCATGATCCCGTTCATGTTCTTGAGGCGCTTTAACCCTGCCCCCTTACTGTTAGTCGTGTTGTCTTGACTCCGCCCCTGCACCCCCTCCCCCCACACGCTCACTTGCTCACCGATGGGGGATGGGGTGTCTCTTGCCCTGCGGTGCCGGTTCTGTATGGGGGGGGCACGGCAGCGGGGAAGCCCACCCCCTGCTGCTGGAGCCGGTGTCCGTCTGCTGCTTGCCCGGCCAGCGGTGGCGGCTGTGGGGGGGGGTTAGTGCAGAACTGGTGAGAGGAATTACTGAATAAATAGACGTTTGCAAAACCTGCCGGCGCCCCCACGTCTGGTCATTGGTGGTATGTGGGGAGGGGGGGATCACTGCCCCATGGTGTTCGGCGGCTACCCCCCCACAACAGGAGGCCAGGTCCCGGGCGCTGCGTGGGGGGCAAATGGGCCCAAGGGAGGGGGCCAGGGGAGGGTGCTCCCTAGCCTCCCCCCTGCAG